TTGTTTTAATTATTTTTTATCCAAGAGTTCACACTTATATGTTATTCAAACAATTAAAATTAAAGCATACTATTGATTTTCCTGTTCAAAATCAAGTATAATGTTTGCTACACCCTTTTATTGTCATTTAAACTGTATTGGTGTTGTTACAGTTTGATTTTGTGTGTAATAAAAAATTTTAATAAAAAAATGATTATTTTTGATTGTTTGTATCATTAAACAATTATTTTGTTCATAAGGCTTTTTATTGAAGTTTTTAACCCTTTGACAGCGAGCAATTTTATTTTATATATCTTATGTTAAAATATTTTAGAGCACCAAGTTGGTAATAAAAATTGTTGTAAACAAATATATACTCTTAAACTTGATTTAATGTTTAATGGTTTTTGTTTAAGGTATTGTGTTCAAATTCATAAGTTGGGTTATATTATATTTGGACTTTTCGAAATGAAATTTTAGATATTGACAGTAAAACTCTTTAAATCAACTAAATTTAAATTGTTTGAAAATTAATATTCAATAAGTGGCTCCACTTAATTCTTTTTTGAATGTTGTTGTGTTTATAAAATACACGTGATTAATCTTGTTTGTTGTATTATAAAAATAATAAAAAGTTAGTTAAATAACGAATTTACATTATTTGATTATATGTAATTATGAACAAAAAGTTTCGGAAGGAAAAATGTGACCACATTATTAAGTTACACAATAAAATCAATCACAATGAATTATTTTTTCTGCTTTAAAAAAATGTCACACAAATAACTTAAATTTTACCTTTATTAACCCTTAAAAAAATAACGGTTCTAATTATTTATAAAACAAAGTTATCAACATGATTAAATGTTTAAATCAATTGATAATAGATATACGATATGTATAAGTGATAAATGTAATTACAGTTAAATAATGACTGTTAATGAAATTGATATTCTCTATTATTCATTTTAACTATTGTGTAAATTATTTGACATATTGTTAAAACCAAAAAAAATATTATAACCAATTGTTATTAATTTTATTGTGTAACTATTTGGAGTTTTTCAATTATCATTCAACATATTTTGTTGAGAATTACATTTAAGTGAGACATCAAATACAATTATTTTTTTTTCTTGATTATTGTTTTATTGTTTTTCATAATACAAAACACAACAGTAAATATATGTATTTCTAAAATACCACAAATATCACAATCAATAAAGATAGAAACACTTATTTAATATTATTATTATTAATAACAACAGTTGGTGTATTGGGTTTTACTGTTATTTGTTACACTTCCATTTGAAAAACAGCTTAAAATTAAAAAGTGGTAATTGTTAAATATGCAAACATGAAACATTAAACAAAAAATTCAAAATATAACATCAATATCAAGAGAATAACACAATTTAAAAGTTTTTCATGTTCCGACTTGTGGCTTACATTTACATGCACATAATTTATTAAAATCAATAGTCTGAGGGAAATCAACACATTTAATTAATAGACAACTACTTTACAAGTTAAAATCGAATTCAACAATTACATTTGTATTGACATTATTGTATATATTTTTTGATAATTGAAAATGCAGTCTGTTAAATTTTAATTAATGTTTTTAATAAAGCATATATAAACTGTATATTTTAAAATATTTAAATAAAAGATAAACTTTTTATTTTAGTTGTGCTCATATAAAAAATAATACATTTTTATAAATTTTAACTGTATATTAAATAATAAAAAATAACAAAATAATAGTAGTTAAGTATGTTTAAAACGCTTTCTTCTTAATGACCGCTTCTTTTTGATTTTATATATAAAATGATATTAAATAATAGAATGATTGGTACTGTTTACCACTAAAGCTTATATATACAATATAAAACTTTCTCAATACAAAGTGAAAATTTGCATTATTTTTATTATATTATTTTAGTAATAACTTTAAAAACAATATGTTGTAAAAGCGTATTATCAACTTTTTGTGTATGTTAAATATGTAATATACTTTATTGTTATTTATAATAATTAAATCATACAGGATGGTCGCTCTTTTCAATAAAATACTTTAATAAGTTTTTATTATTTAATTGGCATATGTAAATACATGATAACAATTAATAATTTGTTTTTTTTTAAATAAGTGTTAAATAATTTAATCATGAATCAACAATTATATTCTTAGTTTAGTTCTACATATAAACACATTTCAAGTATAAATGTATCATAATTTTTTTTTAAATTAGATGATAGTGTTGTTATATATGGTTGTTTATTCACATTTTCATGTTGTTTGTCTTTTTAAATTAGCAACAATTTAAATCATTCAGATATTTAATTATATAAATTAACCATGTATTGTTGATATACTTTCTATTATGTATGTTTTAATAATAAATTGAAATTGTTTAAAATAATTTAATTGATATTTCATTTATCACTTGGATGTTATTTATGTTTATTGTTCCGTATATTTCTAAATATAAGTATTAATACAGTATTATTAATGTTAATAATAAATGTGTATTGTCGTTGACATTTGTATTGATGTTGGATATATTTGTACACATCAGGATGTCAAGGAAAACACTGAAATAACAGACGTTTGTTAATATTGATATCATAGAATACTTTATATACAACAGAAACAAACAACTAATTTATTTGTGTTTTTGTTTGAAAGTTTATTAATTGAGTTTTTGATACAAATACAACGTTGTGGAAATCACGCTTTTGATATTTG